TCTCACCGTGCTTTTTTTGTTTACCCCTTGTCTTCTCACCGTTCTTTTTTTGTTTACCCCTTGTCTTCTCACCGTTCTTTTTTTGTTTACCCCTTATTTTCCTATGTTGGTTCGTCGTATCTAGCCTCTCCTATCTGTCATTTCTAAGCTCATTTATCTCTTCATAATTCTTTCTCTTCTCGCTCTCGAGTTGTTTCTTGTTTCTTGCCAGTGTTTTTCTCGATGTATTATTTGGCTCCCTTCGTTTTGTTTCGCTAAGTTGTCGTCATCGAAGTCTTGGAGCTGTCGGCTGTGCCTCTGATGGAGGTTGATTTTTTGAAATTCATGTGTTCTCTTGTGCCCTATCGTGACTGCTGCTTTTTTTTTTTTTTGGTTGACCACACAAATCTACTCTATCGTCCCAATTTTAACGGATGTCCGTCCTTCTGTCCAAATGAATTGCTTTGCAGACACGGGTACCGACAGCGCCATTCCTCTGCCAAATGTTTCGAGCAAGATCTTAGCGAAAGTGATTGAGTACTGCAAGTATCACGTGGAGGCTGCCAAGAACATCGAAGAAAAGCAGATAAGTGAAGACGAAATCAAGGCTTGGGACGCCGAGTTCGTGAAGGTGGAGCAGTCGACGCTATTCGACTTGATCTTGGTAATTATGCGTGCGCTCAGAAAATTCCCCTTGTATCTATTTTTTCCCCTCCCTCTTCCCCGTTTTGCTTGGCTTTCCGTCGCCTTCCGTCGGCCTCTTTCCGTTCTCCCTCCCTCATTCCTCATCCCTCTGCTCTCTCTTCGTTTTTGTTTCCATTTCTTATCATCGTGTATGGCTATTTTCCGGCTGCCTCTGGTCCGTTGTTTCCCTTTTTAGGTCTTTAGACTGCTGTTCACGGAACTCTGCCTGTGGTCCCCCCATCGGCATTTTGGGCCCGGCCGCCCCGCTCTCCCTCTTGGCCCTCTTGGGTGGTTTTCAGAATATGTAAATAGCGATTCACCAAGCCTTAGAGAGCGCGAAGAACCCAACGTAAGCCAATTTTCAACCGAGGCACCATGTCTCTTGAAACCATTTCAGGCCCCTTCGTTGGTTTTGAGACTTGGTGACTTTCTCACCAATCTGCTTGAAGTGATCTACGCAAATGTAGAGCTAAATTGGAGCGAATCTGGTTGTTCGGACCATTCTTTGTCCTCAAATAGTCTTTTCTGCTGTGCCATACACGATCATCACGAATCAAATAGCTGTGGAATAGATTTAACCACTTAGCCCCACCCTTGAGAGGTATTAAATCTAGCCGGCGGAAGTCCAGCCGAAGAGTCCAGTTTTTGTTCCAGGGTGGGGCAGCGGCGATGGATTCGCACATCTGAGCCTTAAGTCCTCTGTGCAAGCACGGAATCGAACGGTCGACATCGGCCTCAATAGCCAAGTATCTGAACCATCACAGCCAGGACATCGTGTTCAAAAGTGATATCAACTCCACTTCCGGTCGTGATATCCACCCCACCCCACCCCACCCCACCCCGAGATGACGTCCCAAGGCTTCATTCACCAGTGCGATATTCTACATGACGCATGGCAGTCCCACAAAAGATAGGCTGTCTATTCAATGCCCATGGACATTTCACGCAACTCAGATCAACCATCGTTCTCTGCTGGGCCAACCAGAGAGCAGAGAGGGCGGTCTGGGGGGTATATTAAGGGGTGTATTTTTTGTGTCCATGCCTTGGTGTGAGCTAAGGGCTCACCGCGAGGGCACGGGTGCGGAGCCCGTAGATTGTTTGCTGATGTGGCTGGCGAAGGAGAGTAAGTGCTGAGATGTCTCCTTCTTCCAATTCTGCCATTGCATGACTTCCAAAAATACGTGGCTGCAAGTGAATTTTGTAAGAAATATCCGCATGTTGTAGTACCTGGTACTAGTAATAAAAAAAAAGATGTTAAAGTTTTGATGTAATGAAGCTACATACAGAACGAATAGGACAAAAAAGCAAATGATAATTTGCAGTTTCACATTGAGAGGTCAGTGTCTCATATTTTTTGTTTGTCGACCTCTATTTTTATGTCTCTTTTCTTCTTTTTTTGCAATGTTAGAAAATTTGATTGATTCGTTTTCTTTTTTATTGAATAGCTACCAGAAGACTTCAAAAAGGCACAGATACGGCTTCATCTTTCAAGCCTCCATTTCCTCGGTGCTTGTGCTATAGAGAGAAAGTGTGCTACTGGTGTTGGTGAGGTCCAGGGATGAGTCGGAGTGTCAGCATAGCTTCACGATGGTAATGTGGTCGTACTCGTGTTGGCGAGGCTAGGGTATGAGAAGGAAGGTTATTAGATCTTTAGGGTGGCACTGTGCTCGTGATTGAAGAATTGGACATAATACCTTTGATTTTGTGCTGGTAAGGTCAAGGGATCAGAAGGAAGGTTGCGTTAGTGTCACCACTATTACGCGAGGCTGGAATAGCCCAGTGGTAGAGAGAGGATACCTTGGCAGGTGAGATCGTGTCGACAGGAGCTTGGGGTCATTACACTGTTTTGTGGTTTGATCCCCAGAATGTGTTTTCCCACTGCAGGCTAAGGTTGATGCCCACAGTAGGCGATCACGTTGGGTAGAAGTGAGACCAGCAACAGCCAGCAGAGAAGTATCGCTCTTGTTGTCTGGATTGTTGGGACGCAACAGTGGAGCCTTTTTTTCCACTCGTTGCTGATCCCGCTGATGCCAGATGGATGAAGCCGCTTCTGCGAGTGGATGGCCCAGCCATTGGGAAAATCCACGTCAGCGATTGGGAAGAGATCCAGGTCCACAGGCGGTCTGGGGGGTATATTAAGGGGTGTATTTTGTCCATGCCTTGGTGCGAGTTAAGGGCTTACGGCGAGGGCACGGGTGCGTAGCTCGTAGATTGTTTGTTGATGTGGTTGGGGAGGGTTAAGGTACTGATTATGCTATACACCCGTAGGTTGTGTTGATGTGGTCGGGGAGGCGTAGGGTAGTGATTATGGTACACACATCTCCAAGAGTCGGTGTGCAGGGCCCCGCCGTCGTGCTTCATTCACGATGTTCGTGGGATGCTGGACCGGGTTCCAGCAGGTGCCGCCTCCCACCTATAGACGGGAGCATTCTCCCGTAAGTCGACTATAGGGGGATCCTCATATCACCTCTAGTGGTTTGAAGCAGAACTTTTAGAGGGAAAACAAGAAGTGTGTGTGCGTCTGTGCATGTGTACGTCAGAGGAAGTGAGTGTGTGTGTGTGTGTGTGTGTGAGAGAGAGAGAGACCTTCAGCAAGGGCAGCTATTTACTTCGAAAAAAAAAGCATACCAGTGCTTTCTTTTCGGAATTTGAATAGAAAAGGTGTTGTATTAGAGTCCAACACGTACGTGGTGTACTCTAAGTGCGCTTCTATTTGAGAAAAGTGGACCCACGACGTGCCGGTTTCGAAATGTTCAACTCAAGGACAGTGACCACTTCGGCCTCCTACGGGCAGTTATTGGTCTTCCGCAAGCAAAAACTGCCCATTCCCCATGGATTGTCACTGCCCATTCTCCATGGATTGCCACTTCCCATTCCCTATGGATTGTCACTGCCCATTCCCCATAGATTGCCCCCCCCCCAGCAAATTGACCACCCTTCTAACTACCGTTTGGAACTGAACGAACGGCGACTGGTATTATGAATGACGATGAAATTGACACAGTAGTATAAAATGCACCCCTGACGGGCTGCGAACATCTTGAGCTGTTGTTTTGAATGCCTTGTGTTGTGAGCTAACTTGAGCTGTGTGGTTTGACTGCCTCTGGGTGTGTGCTTTCCATTGGTGTTTTGTCATGCATCAATTATTGTTCAGGCTGCCAACTACCTCAATATAAAGAACCTTCTGGACCTCACGTGCCACACCGTAGCAGACATGATCAAAGGTACTGGTTTTCTAATCTCGGATGTGGAGTTGACATGCATGTTGGGGTGGAATTGATTTACGTCGAGGGCTGAAGTGATGGGTGCGCTAAAAGTGGGATCAAATGCCTCAGTATTGTGCACGTGTTGTGCATCAGACCGAGAAGTGGTTGGAATTCATGAAATGTTGGTGACGTGTGCATGATACCTGCTTGAGTGGATTTTTCTTTGTTCGAATGTCACTGCTGGCTCGAGTTTGGTTAGTCGTACTGTCAATGGCTGATATGTTAAACGTTTGCCTGCACTAAAAGTGTCTTGGAATCTCTGCTGGATGACATACTTTAGTACGAGTAAAACGAGAGCGGTATCTTCCGTATATGTAGACCTGTTTTACATCAGACACACACACAGACAGAGAGAGGGAGGGAGAGAGAGAGTGGAGGCACAGTCAAAGGGTTGACTATCTTCTTGCAATGACTTAATCAACGGAAGTGCAGCAGTGTTCAGTGTGTGTTGCAGCCTTGGAAAGACACACATAGAGAGAGGCACGCACACACACACACACACACACACACACATGCACAGAGAGAGAGAGAGAGCGAGCGAGAGAGAGAGATAGAGAGAGAGTGGAGCCACAGTCAAAGGGTTGACTATCTTCTTTCAATGACTTTATTCAACGGAAGTGCAACAGTGTTAAGTGTGTGTGGAGACAGTCAAAGGGTCGACTTTCTCGCAATGACTTTAATCAAGGGAAGTGGAGCAGTGTGCAGTGTGTGTGTTGCAGCCTGAGAGAGAGAGAGAGAGAGAGAGAGAGAGAGAGAGTTCTGGAAAGGACTTTATTCAAGGTAGTGCAGCAGCGTTGAGTGTGCGTGTTGCAGCCTTGCAGGGAATAGTCGACTGTTTTATTGCCTGGCTTCGATTAGGTGTTGGGTGCTCCTACTTTCGGAAGGATGCTGTTTTGTGACCTACGTGTATTGTCTGATTGATTGTGTACCAGGGAAAACGCCAGAAGAGATCCGGAAGACTTTTAATATTCAGAATGACTTCACTCCTGAGGAGGAGGAGGATGTGAGACGGGAGAACCAGTGGTAAGTGTCTCGTAGCTGCGATTTTGCTATGTAGCACCTGTGTTGGGGGTTCTTAGTGTGCACCAATGTGATTGACGCTCTGAGGGTACCAGTGTTAAGTGTCTCGTAGCCAAGACTTTGTCATGTAACACCTGTGGTGGGGGGTTGTAGTGTGCGCTACTGTGATTGACATTCTGAGCATGTGCATGACGACTTCTCATATACTTGAGCCACAAAATGCTGTCCATTCGTGATGTGGTTTAATTGCCTGCACCATGATGAAATACATGTGCAAATTTGACTTCTGCTTGCATTCTTTGACTGTCAGGTATAATTCTCAGGAGCCGTGTATGGTCTTCACCCAAAGAGAACACAAATGTCATGATCGCCGCATGTAGACTGAATATTGCCCCAAATACCTGGTGTAATGACCCTGCATTCTATTTGGGTGAAGAGGGAAGTATCTGATTCATTGTTGACGTGCACGAAAATTTAGGCATGTGCAAATTTGACTTCTGCTTGCATTCTTCGACTGTCAGGTGTAATTCTCAGGAGCGGTGTATGGTCTTCACCCAAAGAGAACAACAAATCTCCTGATCGTCGCATGTAGACTGAATATTGCCCCAAATACCTGCTGTAATGACCCTGCATTCGATTCGGGTGAAGAGGGAAGTATCTGATTCTGACGTGCATGAAAGTTTCAGAAAGCAATATTAGGACGATAGTAGAACAGGAGAAGGTTTCATCGGAGACTCGATAACGATCCCCCTTAAATGGCGAGTACATGGCCCCAGCCTTTCTGACAAGAAACTCGTCGCCTATGAGATGCCATCCGAAAAAGATGGCGCAGGTGCACCATTGATTAAAAAAATTGGTGGCCTGCATCGCATTTCGGATTCTGACAGGTGCTCTCGGTCGATAGCTGGATGTGCTTGTGCTTGTGGGCTTTGTAGCGTTTTGAAGGCTGATCTTCGTGGGTGATTTCACGAGTCAACTAGTTTTTTTTTTTGAAAATCAAAAATAAAAAAGGGCGACGGCCTTTTGATATCATCTTTGAAGCTGACCGGCCCCAGGTAATTCAGTATTATGTTATTCTGGGCATCTGAGTGTATCTGGATTCGAACTTGTCTGTATTTTTTGTCTCCTTTTTCTTTTTCCCCCCTCTGGACGTGATGTCTGTTTCTCAAGGCGCGGAACGCACGGGGTGCGTTGTATTCGTATACAATGCACGTGCGTGATGCTTACGGATTTTAGGCACTAACTTCTGAAAAGACCCCCCCCGAAAAAATCCAGTATATGTCGATACCTTTGCATGAATAGAGAAATGGTCGAAAGCGGAAAAAAAAAAACAAAAAAAAACACAGAGCCCGATACCAAATATTAAAAACGTGAAAGAAAAAAAATCTGAATGAATCTTTTGCCAGAAAATGGACAAATGCATCACCACATTTTTGTCTATTGTGCATGTGGAGATCAGTGGAGCAAGGGCCCGTCTGTACGTACCAATCGAAAAGTCGGCCACGCTACTTGCTGAGAGTTACATTTGAACAGTCATGCAGTCTTGGATTTCCATCTTGGCCCAGCGAGAGAGAGATAGAGGGGGCACAACACTCTGAATATGAGTGTGGCACTGCAGACGGGTACGCGCGCCTTAGAAAGTGAGAGAGAGAGAGAGAGAGAGCAGGAGGAGCACTGCAGGGCACGCGTTTTTGAAAATATGCACGACATTCTGTATGTTCTGTTTGAATAGAACACCCCTGTGTTCGAATAGAACAGACGTGCGTTCTATTCGAACAGAACATACGTGTGTACTATTTGAACGTGCGCACTACTTGGATTTCAGGGGGCGACTTCAAGAAATCGACTTTTCCAGGGAAAGTTGAATAGTACATACGTGCGTTTTGTTCGGGGGAAGACTAGGTTTTCCCTGGATGTATCCTGCCACACTCATTGCCTGTCCTGGATTTATGGAACTGCAAGTAGGTCAATAAATCAGTGGAAAACATTTAGTGCGATTGTGCCCTCACTGTAGTAGGGTAGCCTGCCCAGTAGGTACCTAGCAAAAAGCCCTCTCTGTGGGAAATGGGTTCATTGGAATGGCCATCTCCATGCGCAGGAATTGGCCGAGGAGTCGGGGTTCTCGAACCTAATGATGAACCTGGGGTGACCCGTCGAGATGAATCTTTTGGTAGTTTGGAGAAGTAATCGCTGATTGTAGACTTCAACCACTGGTACTGCACTCCGAAGTACACAGCCGTATACAACCAGGCCGTGCTTTCGATGTCGGCGCCTGGCGGTGTGAGTGGTTTGATTCGTCTGGAGCTTCAGATTTATGCTGATTTGTTTGGGAGCTTCAAATTTATTCTCGATGAAACAGGTCTGCTGTACTGGTCACCTAAACTAGTCCTCCTGTGTTGTTTATCACCCTCCTCTCTGGGATGAGGCCAGTTTTTTGTGAATGGAAGCAAAGGTTGTGGCTGTCGCTAGATTGGGCCAACCATGCCAAGGGTACAATGGTTCTCAGTGATTTTAGCCACAAAGGTCTCCAGGCTTGTTCGACTGAACATGATGTTTGACTGACCCTGAACCTCGTTCATCAGGTGAAGAGCCCAACAGCAGAGCATGTGGGTTGTCACGTTTGTCCTTTCAGAGCATGGATGTAGCACGGCAGCAGGAGCATGCCCCGTGTATCATAGTTTGTCACAGCCCCTCGTTTGTTGTCCTCTTCTCCCTCTCTGGCTACGGTTTACCGGGCAGCTCTGTTTGACGATATATATATGTTCATAGCGGGAGAGCATGAATCTGGACGTAGTAGTAATGTTTGTGCTTTCATAGCATGAATGCTTGGACCAGTGGCTCTGCCCGTCGTTCAGAAGATCCCTATGTAGATTCGATCAATTAGATGAATATTGTATTTTTTCAAGAATACTTTCTACTAATTTAGTAATTTCTATTAAAAAGAACAATATATATAAATACAATATTCTATTAAATATATAATATACAATATATTGGCAAACAAACCGTAGGCATCGAATGAGGGGGCTGTGACAAACTGTGTCGTTGGAGTTTCACCGACTCATCCGGAGGCTGTATATCAGTATATATATTGTCACAGCCTCTCGTTTGTTGTCCTCTTCTCCCTCTCTGCCTACGGTTTACCGGGCAGCTCTGTTTAACTATATATAATACAATATCTATGAAATATTTCATATATTTATAATGCGATCAGTATTGATCGTGCGTGCAACCACCAGGACCCAATTGCCTGCGAAGGAAAGAAGAAAGAACGATGCGAGTATGTAATAGGAGTTGATGGATCACAGCAACAATAAAGATGTGTTTCTAACTGTTTATGTTACACAGGTAAATAATAACTCTGTCCTGTGTAATGTGGAGTGATTTTGCCATCCTTGCAATCTGTTGTGTTTTGTGACTTTCGTCGACACTAATTCTAATTCTTTTCTTGTGCAGTATGCTTTTTCGTTTGTATTACAGTGCGCTTTTCCACTTTGTGAATGCATGCTTCCTGGGTGCTTTCCTGTGGATGCGTATCATCGCATCCTGCTGATGCGGTCCTTGTGTGATCGTGGCGTTTGTGTCCCAGGGCGTTTGAATGAGGTGGTGACGAAAGAGGCATATAATGTGATAGAGCGGGTGCACGTTTTGCTGGAAGATACTGTTTGCTTCTCTTCTTCACCAGGAGAGGATGATGGATGATGGCTTGTGCTGGGGAGAGTCGTGCAAGGGCATACTTTTATGAAGACACAGGGAGCGCCTTTGGGGCTTTACCGTGAGCGAGCCTGCATTGTGCTGTGTGAGTTCGACCCTGCGAATTGGCAAGCAAGGAGTGTCCGGGGCGGACAGCCCTGGCGAATGGTTGTCGAGTGTGTGGAGAAGAAGGGGTGGCCAAGTTTATTTGGGTTGTTTTTCAGTTCTTCCTGAAAAGGTTTGTGCATGCACTATTTGTTTGCGACTGCTAAACTCGTGATGAGGGCACCAAAGCAGAGGGTGATGATGATAAGACGAGTGGACGTTGTTAGTCTCATGCTGCGGTGGGGTTAGGTCTCTGGTGAGTTGTTGCCCTGTTTACCCTTGTCGTTGGTCTGTTGCCGTGAAATGTTGTTTTGGTTTTCCTGTTCTCTTGTGTGTAGATCGTTTGCGTTGGTGGTGGCTGTGGGGAAGCATGTATGCCTGCAACTGTGCAAAGAACGTGAAGAGCGGGTACGTAATCTTTGTGTGAGGAAATTGTATGGACGGAGATGCGCGGATGGGCAGAAGTCCCGACAGTATCTGTTGGCATCAGACAATTTGGATTGTGACCTTTAAAAATGTAATTTGTTCCGCAATGACGTAGGATGGTGTGCGTTTTGCTTTGTTGCCGCCGCGTTCTTTTTACTTACAGCGAGTAAATGACGAATGAGCGCCATGGGCAGGCAGTGTAGTGGACTTGCTGGTGCCTTGGGTGGGAAAGAACAGCTAAATCGGGTGTGCACAAAAAACGAGGCCAACCGGTTTTTATCATCTGCAGCTGCTCAGTAGGAAATTGTCTGGTTGGCAGCATTATTTTGATGTGAACTCGAGTTTTATGTGCGATGAGAGGAAAGCTGGCATGGTGTCTAATTGTCTGTCTCCTATATTTTGGGACGGATGGGAGGTAAATATGTTGTGAATATATGGGAAGGCATTCAAACTTTCTGCGGCGGCTTGTCTGTCATTCCTCTTCTTTCCTCCCAACTGGAGTTTCCGTAGCTTTTTGTGTCCATGCACTCTTTCGTAATGTCAGCGACAGCTAGGGAGTTTTTAAGGAATCTAATGCCTGTGCCTGCAGTTTGAAGTATATCACAAATGTCTCCCCCGTTCCCCTTTCTGCCCTCTGCCCCTTGCTGCCTCCACCCTGCCCCCGGCCCCTCCTTCCTCAGCCGCAGGGTCCTGCGGCTGGCTCCTCTACCCTCATTCCTGGTCTCCTTCCCACCAGCGTTGCCTCCCCTGGTTGGTATGTATGTACCTGTTTCTTATTGACGACTTTGCTGAGGTGGGAGGTGAAAGGCACGTATTTGTTCATGGTATGACACTGAGAAAAGACATGCGCGCACAGATCGATGGACTGCACAATGAAAGGCACGTATTTGTTCATGGTATGACACTGAGAAAAGACATGCGCGCACAGATCGATGGACTGCACACGGCGATTCTTCATTTTTTTGTTATCTCATCAACTCCTTGTTCTTCGATCAGCTTTGCAATCGTAAGATGTGCACCCACTCCAGTGCGGCTACACCTGCACATATGGAAAATATCAATGACACAACCACGAGGTCTACTTTTACGTACATGTATCTCCCGTATAATTTCTTTGTTTTTTTTGTAGTCGTGTACAATGTTGTTGTACGTGAATGCAAGTGCTGTTACACTTGTCTGTACGCTACACGCAATCAAATTGTTGTGGAATTTATGGGGCTAAAAAAAAATAAAACATCCGGCAGCAGCCCCTGAAGTCTTGTATGCAAAAAAAAAAAAGGGAAGATGTTTGTTGTGTTTGTTATTTTTTTTATGCATAGTACTGTTTCTGGGGAGGGGGAGAGAGAGAGATAGCTTCCTGAGTTTGACGCATCCTCATTTTTGCTGAACCAGACCAGGAAGATGGCTTGTTTATATTCCTTATCAAGGTGCACCCTGATAGTGATGTATACAAGCCATCCTTGCCATCCGAGGCAGACAAAACGAGGGTGCGACATGTCGGGGTAGCTCTGTTTGAGATAGAGCTGTGTCTGAGGGAGAGCGCTGTTTGTGAGAGAGAGAGAGAGAGAGCTTTCTGAACATGAAGCACCCTCGCTTTGGCTGCACCAGAGGGTTATACACCTGAGTGGATACGGGCCATGAGCGCTGTTTGAGAGAGAGAGAGAGAGAGAGCTTCCTGAACATGAAGCACCCTCGCTTTGGCTGCACCAGACGGTTATACACCTGAGAGGATACGGGCCATCTTTCCCGTCCAATTGCTTGTTTACATTCCTTATCAAGGTGCGCCCTGATAGGGAATGTATACAAGCCATCTTTGCCGTCCGAGGCAGACAAAACGAGGGTGTGTCATGTCGGGGTGATTCTGTTTGAGAGAGAGCTCTGTCTGTGAGAGAGAGAGAGAGCTTCCTGAACATATCACATTGGCTGCACCAGACGATTATAAACCTGAGTGGATAGAGAGAGAGAGAGAGAGCTTCCTGAACATGAAGCACCCTCACTTTGGCCGCACCAGACGGTTACACACGTGAGTGGATACAGCCCAGAGAGAGAGAGAGAGAGACAGCTTCCTGAACGTGAATCACCCTCGCTTTGGCTGCACCAGACGGGAAGGATAGTGTATAGATTCTTGCTATCAGGGTGCGGTCTCTCAACACACCCGAGTAATGAATGTATACGAGCTCTCTCTTCGGTCCGGTGCACAGCTAAAATGAGGGTGCAGCGTGTTTGGGGAAGCAGCCCGCCCCCCCCCCCCCCCGGGCAAAAAAAAAAAAAAAAAAGACTTTGTTGGGCTGAGGCGGAGGCTGTATGTCGGTGTTCAACTGCAGGTGCCCCGTTGTACGCTTTGTACGCCCAGGTATTTTACGTTACGTACGTAGCGTATAAAGAGAGGCCTAGACATCTACCGATCTCATGGTCAGGAATCTCTCTCTCTCTCTCTCTCTCTCTCTCTCTCTCTCTCACACACACACACACACACACACACACACACATGCACTCTCTCTCTCTCTCTCTCTCTCTCTCACACACACACACACACACACTCGCACCTTTTTTTTAATCGGGTTGTGTATAGCGAACATGACAATAGACAACATGGATCTCCACCAAACAACCAATTGCTGACAGCATGAACGTTGGCAGAGTTTGAACCCATCTTAAATGGAAGACGTAGATTTCCTGCACCGGGTGGTTTTGATGATGGCATCTTAAGGCTGTGACCCTTTCTCTCTTTTTTTGGAAAGGAAAATTGTGCCACTTATCCTGACTTCAAATTGTTTATCGTTTTTCTCCATATACACAACCGCAAAAGAAGAGATGGAACCTTCTTGTGGCCTCACCTCCCCAAAAATCTCTTCCCCTGCCTGGTCCCCTCTCCCTCCCCCTCCTTGTGTGTTTGGCCCCATGATTTTCCAATCGACGTCGCACTTTTTTTTGTCATCACTCCTTGACAAATCCGTGCTGCACGAGTGCATGAGAAGCACCACGGATATGTCATTGCACGGAGATCTCATGCACTCAAGGGACATGAAGCCAGTACCCACGCAGCATCAATATGCCGGAGCAATCTGTGCGTCGAAAGGGAAAGGACACAAAACGAAAGAAATTTTGGCAGACAGAAATACCAAGTTGATGCATGTTCCTGACCGATGCTAATCTCTCTTTGACAAGTGTTCCGCAGTGGAGAAGAAGATCCATGTCATGTCAGGAGTCCGTGCCAGCAGGGTACAGTGCAGCTATGATTGAAGGGTCTGTGCGGCCATAGTCAGCCACTTTCCCCAGGGGTCTTGCCGATGCCGGGAAACATGTGGAGTCCTTGCGCATAAGTCAAACATGTTGAGTCCTTGTGCATAAGTCAAATGCATCCCGGACAGACTGTCATAGGGTTCGAACTCCGGATGAGTTGGTGAAAGTCGGAAGAAACAGGCTGGCACTGTCACGCTCTTTCTTTGAAGTCGTCTATAGGGTACATCACAAAATGCACACATGAGTTTTTGTGGAGTTGTGTATATTGAACGTGACAATACGTGCACACACACACACACACACACACACACACACACACACACACACAGAAACCTGTGACTCGGTGTAAGTTCAGTCAAATAGTTTGGCACGGTCGTGTCGTTTTTATGGAGTTTTCAATCAAACAGTGTGGCACAGTCGTGCCCTTTTTATGGAGTTGTGTATAGCGAATGTGAACAACACGCATGAGCACACTTACATTTGTGTGAGCTTTGTGATCCACATCACAGACAGCCTGCAAAAACAGAGACAAGGCGTTGTTACAAAGACTGGTGCTCTTTGGAGTCTTTGCTATTTCAGGGATCTAACTGAACGGGCTACGGTTTTTGGGGCAATTGTTTGGGGGCAGCTGTGAAGGAAGCGCCTGCCAGTATGTGCGACTGGTGGATCCAATGGCATGCATGGCTCACTTTCGAAAACGTCATGGTTGCAGTGTGAGCCCCGTACTCCCTAACATCCGTCTGTAAACAAGCGGCACTCGCCTGTGTAAAGTACGGACTCGGTCTGTATGGGTGCAACAAATTTAGACTCAGCAATTGAACGTCCAATGTATTGGCACCTTGCTGTTAAGCCAACCAATTTAGATTCAGCAATTTAAGGTCCAATGTATTGGCACCTTGCTGTTAAGCCAGAGATCGCTGGTTCGGCTCGGCGCAGAGTCAAATGGCAGGTAGTACTGAGAACAGGAGTAAGTAGGTGGAAGTTTTGCACCCAGACCAGGTCGATGTAGGGCGTCCGTGCTAGAAGGGTGAGAGCTTGTAGCAGGGTCTTGAGGGGTCTAACGCGCAGGACTGAAATACATGCAGCCATGCAGGGGTGCAGTCCATGTCACAACCGGTATGACTCCATTGCAAAAATTATCAGAGGATAGAGGTGCGATCAGTAAAGCAGACTGCCAACTTTACGATTGTACCTAGTAGTGATGCTCTGAGCAGTTGGTTTTGCAGGTGTGGACATGATTAATGCTCGGAGGGGGATGTAGTGCTGTGTGTGGAAGTGGTCGACGCCATCGCTGCCCCAAATTGCGGGCTAAAAGCGTCGAAGGAGGAAGGCGAAAAAGAAATTAAAACAGGAAAGGCAATGGAAATTCTTAAAGCTGCAGGGCACCACACACGGCATGTTCATCCCTGATAATTTTTGCAATGAATTGTTTGTTTTTTTTGGTGGCTGGAAGTTCTTCAAAGGTATGAAAAGCTGGAGGACTTTGTACCATCCATTCAAGTGTTGTTGAATTTGCCTCAACTGCCCAAGGCGCTTGCAGAGCGCACACTTCACTGGTTGAAGTGAATGTATAAAGAACCACAAAAAATTTAAAATTCCTACGACAGAAAGATAAGAGCCAAAACTACTCAGTGCATTCCGTCCTGCAGGATCTGTGGGGTGTGAGTGTTTTCCCGTGCTGGGGACTTCATAAGGATTGGGAGCTCGTTCCAACCCCGGCAGGTGTGCCATCCAATAGGTTTTGTCACTTGAGTTTTACTCTGAGAGCAGTGAGAGGTAAGATAGGCGATGGGTTTTGAACCTGTGCCCTCTGTATAAAGAGGAGGGTTCTGTACCTTCTGTCTTTTCCTGTTCTGTTTGTTGCGGTAGAGATGCCTTTTTTGATGTTGTGGAGCTCTGCTGTGCGGACTGCATAAGGTTGCGTGCCCATTCCAACCTGAGCTGAAGGGTCTTGCTACCTGCAGATATTTAGAGGAGCTGTCCGCTGAGGTAGATTTCCATTTGCAGGGCCTTGTTCCCTGCATATCTATAGTAGAGGTGTCCAGTCTGCGGACTGCCCATTCCAACCTGAGCAGGTTCGCTGCCCGGCTTGGTACATCACTTAGGGCTTCTATTCTGACAGCTATGATAGGGCATGGGTTTTGAACCCTTGCCCTCTGTCTTGACAGTAATGCTTTTTTTTCTAGTTGTTCGTTTACTGTTTCGTTTTTCTGCTGTGGTTGTGAGTCTCTTCGTGAACTTGCTTCTGATATAGGCCAGGTTCTTCTCCCTGGATCTGTCCCGGAAAGCAGGCTGATCTGGCTTGATGGGGGTGTA